CCAGCGTGTACGCTCTTGGTGCGCCTCTTCTCGCGATGAGAACGAGACGCCCCGGGAATGCGGAGCGGCCACTAAGGACCGCCCATCTTCCCTCGGTCCGTGCGAGACGAACTTTTACTTTCATTGCGCCTTTAGGTTTAGTAATTCCCAATGACTCGCGCACATGCTAGACTCCTTGGTCCGTGTTTCAAGACGGGTCCTGAAAGTACCCAAAGCTATAGCGTCGCAGATCGGTTTTGATAAGGTCTGTTCGAGAACTTCGCGGCCAACAGTCGCCAGAGGTCGGGACCGGCACTAGGTCCGATCACCGACGACATCTGACGCGCTTGCTGCGAGTCGAACGCTCTAAGGAGCGGCCTTAAACCTTTCGTATACCGTCGAGCGAGTCGGCCGGGAACACGCGGGTCCGCAAATATCGTCGTGAGACGACATCTACGGGCTCCACCGCGAGCCTTAGACCGACACTCGACGGATCGCGACGTCCTACCAGGAGAAAAGTGCACGCGTTCGTCTCCGGATCGGACAACGAAAGGCGCGGAGAACGCGAACGTCCCCCGTCACACGATCGCCGAACGCCGATGACGAAACGCGAATGAATTTCTCCCTTCGACCTTTCGGGTTTCTCAGGTTTACCCCTAAACGGTTTCACGTACTCTTGAACTCTCTCTTCAAAGTGCTTTTCAACTTTCCCTCACGGTACTTGTTCGCTATCGGTCTCGTGGTCATATTTAGCCTTAGATGGAGTTTACCACCCACTTAGGGCTGCACTCTCAAGCAACCCGACTCTAAGGAGAGATCCTCTCGAGATCGGAAACGGTCGCTACGGGCCTGGCACCCTCTATGGGCTGTGGCCCCGTTCAAGAAGGACTTGGACGCGTCGCCGGATCTCGAGATAACAGATCCTCCCGAACACCACATTTCCCGGCGCCTAACGGTAGGCGCGGGATTCAGTGCTGGGCTCTTCCCTGTTCGCTCGCAGCTACTAGGGGAATCCTAGTTAGTTTCTTTTCCTCCGCTTAGTAATATGCTTAAATTCAGCGGGTAGTCTCACCTGCTCTGAGGTCGAAAAATTAATGTGTGGTTAATTTTGGCGTCCCGAACGATTCGATTGTGAGACGGGCCAGTGACGACGTTTTATCGTCTTAGTCTCGTAGCCTTACCGATCAGACGTCGATTTCCGTTTAAACGATTTCATCCATCTATATATATATATATATAGAGACGTAATCGCGAAAATATATCGGACACGACGATCGGACGCGACGAGACGACGTTCGACGACGACGTGCAGGTATCAAGTACTAGCGCGTATATGCGTCGAAAATAAACGTCAAGTCAAACACCGCTCTCGAATCGTTGTTTCGCATTTTACCGCGCTCCGTCGTCGATATGTCGACGACTGAGTGCGGACGCTTTCGCGTTTTAAGGTGTCGCGTCTTATGGACGACGCGTAAACACCCAACACGCTCCGACGTTTTTCTCTTTTATAATATAAAAAAAGAAAAACCGAGCAGTCTTTAAGTTAGATACGACCCTCAGCCAGGAGTGGTCCGGGAACAGAATCCGAGGACCGCAATGTGCGTTCGAAATGTCGATGTTCATGTGTCCTGCAGTTCACAAGTTGACGCGCAATTAGCTGCGTTCTTCATCGACCCACGAGCCAAGTGATCCACCGTTTAGGGTAATCTTTAAAATGAAAATTGACGAGTTTGCCTCGAAAGAAGCTCACTTCGTCGTAGTCGTTCGACCACTAGTTTGTGACGAATATTTTCGTTAGGCGTCTAGTTAGCACGTCTCGCGTATTGATCGCCGTTCGTTATTTACGAATCGACGTCCAAACGAACGCTATCGTTTCTCGATATATTAACGAGAATCGATAATCACCGCTTCGAATATCAAACGTGGCGGTGTTGCGCGTTCGTCGTCGTCGTTGTAATCAGCGTCGACGCGGACGTTTCTTCCGAATGGAGAAAAGGTAACGTCGCCTTTAATTTTTGCGATACTCGTTAGAGAGGACGTTGTTGTGCCGTTCTTCGAACGAGTCTAACGTCGTAGGCTCTTTTTATACGAGATATATCGTCGTATCACGTTTTAGGCTAAACGTCGTCGATAATTTTTCGGGCGTAAATCATTTAAATACCATCGAAAAAGAGAAGAGTCGCAGTAGTATCTGTATCTCTTCTATCTATTTCTTGAAATTTTTCGACGAACTACTCTTTCTCGTCTAGAAAAATTATAGGTACCCGAAAATCGATTAGACGTGTATAATAGCGTACGTGTCCGACGATCTCGTTTATAAAGAGCCGATACCCTCTTTTACGAAGCATCAATTTAGTGTTATGTGTACGTCGCCGACCCGCGTGCTCTTTAAAAGAATGGCGTGTCGAAGCGTCGTCGCGCTGCCGTCGTCGATTTAACGACGCGAGCGGCGCAGATTCGTTCGAATAATTTCTAACGTCATCGACGAAAGAACAAACGTGTTCGTTTTTAACGTACACTGTAATGATCCTTCCGCAGGTTCACCTACGGAAACCTTGTTACGACTTTTACTTCCTCTAAATGATCAAGTTTGGTCATCTTCTCACACACATCGACGACGCCGAAACGCCATCGCGTGCCGATCCGAAGACCTCACTAAATCATTCAATCGGTAGTAGCGACGGGCGGTGTGTACAAAGGGCAGGGACGTAATCAACGCGAGCTTATGACTCGCGCTTACTGGGAATTCCTCGTTCATGGGGAACAATTGCAAGCCCCAATCCCTAGCACGAAGGAGGTTCAGCGGGTTACCCGGGCCGCTCGGCCAGGGAGGACACGCTGATTCCTTCAGTGTAGCGCGCGTGCGGCCCAGAACATCTAAGGGCATCACAGACCTGTTATTGCTCAATCTCGTGCGGCTAGAAGCCGCCTGTCCCTCTAAGAAGATATGTTTGTACGCCGACAGTAAAAACCGCGCGCGACGCGCCGCAAACGAAAAGACCCGATACGCGTGAACGCACGGGGCTCCCGAAACGACGGCCGGCGGGCCTTTGCGATGTCAAAATTAGCGCCTAGTTAGCAGGCTAGAGTCTCGTTCGTTATCGGAATTAACCAGACAAATCGCTCCACCAACTAAGAACGGCCATGCACCACCACCCACCGAATCAAGAAAGAGCTCTCAATCTGTCAATCCTTCCGGTGTCCGGGCCTGGTGAGGTTTCCCGTGTTGAGTCAAATTAAGCCGCAGGCTCCACTCCTGGTGGTGCCCTTCCGTCAATTCCTTTAAGTTTCAGCTTTGCAACCATACTTCCCCCGGAACCCAAAAGCTTTGGTTTCCCGGAAGCTGCCCGTCGAGTCATCGGAGGAACGTCGACGGATCGCTAGCTGGCATCGTTTATGGTTAGAACTAGGGCGGTATCTGATCGCCTTCGAACCTCTAACTTTCGTTCTTGATCAATGAAAGCGTTTTTGGCAAATGCTTTCGCTTCCGTTCGTCTTGCGACGATCCAAGAATTTCACCTCTAACGTCGCAATACGAATGCCCCCATCCGTTCCTATTAATCATTACCTCGGGGTTCCGAAAACCAACAAAATAGAACCGAGGTCCTATTCCATTATTCCATGCACACAATATTCAGGCGAAATTTTAGCCTGCTTTAAGCACTCTAATTTGTTCAAAGTAAACGTGCCGGCCCACCTCGACACTCAGTGAAGAGCACCGCGGCAGGATTGAGTTGGACCGCCGCTGGACCGCCAACGCGCGTTCGCCGAAGCTCCCGCGAATCGAAATCGGCCAACGGCTAAATCCACCGGCAGGACGTCTCGCTTCACGCCAGTTAACACCGCGGACGATGAACCGACGGCGCGAGACACAAATTCGACTACGAGCTTTTTAACCGCAACAACTTTAATATACGCTATTGGAGCTGGAATTACCGCGGCTGCTGGCACCAGACTTGCCCTCCAATTGATCCTCGTTAAAGGGTTTAGAGTGTACTCATTCCGATTACGGGGCCTCGGATGAGTCCCGTATCGTTATTTTTCGTCACTACCTCCCCGTGCCGGGAGTGGGTAATTTGCGCGCCTGCTGCCTTCCTTGGATGTGGTAGCCGTTTCTCAGGCTCCCTCTCCGGAATCGAACCCTGATTCCCCGTTACCCGTTACGACCATGGTAGGCGCAGAACCTACCATCGACAGTTGATAAGGCAGACATTTGAAAGATGCGTCGCCGGTGCGAGACCGTGCGATCAGCGTAAAGTTATTCAGAGTCACCAAGTTGTACGATGACGAGCGCGAACCCGCCACCGATTGGTTTTGATCTAATAAAAGCACTCCTTCCGTCTCCGGTCGGAGCTCTATTTGCATGTATTAGCTCTAGAATTACCACAGTTATCCAAGTAATTGTGGGTACGATCTAAGGAACCATAACTGATTTAATGAGCCTTTCGCGGTTTCACCTTAATTTGGCTTGTACTGAGACATGCATGGCTTAATCTTTGAGACAAGCATATGACTACTGGCAGGATCAACCAGGGAACTGTTCTCGCTCGAGTGGACCGAGCCTTGCTAACGTTCGATGCGAATAAATCGCACTCGTCGTTCGCAGGTAGGTCTCTCGCGCACAGTATCCGCCAAAGAAATTTATTCGTTTCTCGACGCATACCGTATTATATATAATCGTGCGTGATTAATTCGCATCGACGTAACGGAAAACCGTTTCGGATGCCACGCTAGTACGTATATATAAGTAGTATGATAGGTTTCGTATCGCGTATACAAGCACGATCGTCGATGTTCTTGATTTATTTATTCCGTTTACAATTTCCCTCGGTCTAGTGTATCTCTTTTCTAAGTGAGAACCAGACTCCAAAAGAACAAACGGAACAAACCAGAATCGACAGAACGCACACGCGTTACGAAAGCGTCGATACGACACAAAATTAAACCGAATCGACAAAACATCGATGATCGGCACAAACAATTTCGAATCATTCTCTCAGACCCTTCGCTAGATTGAAAGCGACACGGAAATCTCGACAGAGACGTTTCGGTATTGCACAAAAGTGTATTCTCGCTCGGAACGAAGAGAGTTGTCGCATATTAAATTAAAACAACAAATCGATCAGCTTTCATCTCGCAAAAGAATTGGCACAATCGACTTGTGTTTTGATTAAAAGTTGATCGCATTCGAATCGTGATACGTAAAAATATTAACGTCCACTCAATTCGCGATCTCGCTGTGAACGACAAAACATACCATTTTGCCGTTACCCATCTAACGATCGGTTTTGTCTCGTCAAACATCTTTCTAAATGCATAGCAAAATGTAAAATGACGAAACGCATAGCAGTATAAAACGTATATACTAAAAAAGAATAAATCTTTTCTAGGCGGCGATTTTCGTTAATTCGTTCAACAAAATCATAGCCTATACATTTACTCGTGTGGAGAATCACGAACTTACTTCTAATTCGGTCCGCTGGTCGACTCTCCACATATAAGCGCACCGGTCGCCCGCCTGCCCTACTACCGATGTATCGGTGGGACCGCTGCCGAAGCGAGCGTCAGCCGAGACAGATATCGCCATTCGAAGCGACGATGCCGTTTGCGGTCGTTCGGCCGCGCCTATAGTCACTCGGTAATTTCGATATTGTTATTTCGAATTTTCTAAATATTGTCAAAAGGAGATCTACTACCTCTTAAAATGCTTGCACATACATATTTTGCGTCGGCTTTTTTCCGACGACTCAAAAATTGTACAAGTAGCTAAATACTAATGTCGATGCTATGATTACGTTGTAAAAGTATCTAAACTTTTATGGTCGCAATCGACCGTCCTGTCAAAAAATTGTACGAGTACCTAAACTTTTATTACGAAGCTACGACCACATTGTAGAAGTAGGTAAACTTTTTCCGTTCGGCCAGTCGATGGTCGTTTTAAAAAATTGTACGAGTAGCTAAAAACTAATTTGTTTCTATGTTACGATCGCGTTGTTGAAGTAGGTAAACTTTTTCCGTTCAGCGAGGCGACCGTCCTGTCAAAAAATTGTACGAGTACCTAAACTTTGTTTCCGAAGCTACGACCACATTGTAGAAGTAGGTAAACTTTTTCCGTTTGGCCAGTCGATGGTCGTTTCAAAAAATTGTACGAGTAGCTAAAAACTAATTTATTTCTATGTTAC